CAAAATTTAAATATTTGATAATTAATTTAACTAATTAAATTAATTAGTAATGCCTTGGACCATCCAAGCCCATTACATGATCCATGCGCCCTTTTCCCTTTTAGGTGGGCTTCCAAACTTCTTCTTGGGCTAACAACTATTATTAGGCCCAATACCATTAATGCTAGATCATCATGACAATAAGGTGTTAGTGTGTGACCCATTAGGTCTAACATAGCCACTAACATAAATGGTCTCGGGCCCAACAAGCCCACAACCCATTTAATGACAACACAGAGCACTAGCAATGCTTTGTTGCCCCAGAACTAGTTAGATTAATGACTTGATCATCCTATCACACATATTTGGTTGCCGTATGTATTTCTTTTCGTCTCGGTTACCTTCTCATTAAACCTAGGGCAAGGAAACGTATTAACCCTTGCAGTTTAGGGTAAGCTTTATTCGAAATAGGGAATCTTCAACTTACTGACTCTAAAGACAGATCATCTCATGATCTCTTTTACTATGCATAGATTCCCGAGTCCCAGTAGATGTCATCCCGATTTCTCCGGTTTACAGATAACCTAATCTCTCACAGAGATTTGACGAATTCCTTCAGCTTATCACCCTAGCCCTGTGCTCTTTCAGGACAAGCCCAACAGTGTACCTATGAGTCTCCATGTTTCAGGCAGACGAGGTATACAATCAAAGCATGCCTTCTAGAACACAGTCTAGGTAATAACTTCTAGTCTAAGGAAAGACATAACCAAATATAAAGAGATTACTCTAATGATACTATCTGTGAGATTTCCTCATAGAGTCTCTTTGTGGGACTGTTCAGTGCGAGCTATACCCTTATAGGTCCACCCACGACTTTAGCTAAGACATCTCTATATCTGTAGCACATGAGGTCTTTACCTTGTATCCAAATACAAGTAGATAAGTCGTGCTAGTCTTACCCGAGATCACTGATCCCCATTCTCAGTGTCTCTAGACTAGGAACATCAAATTAGGAATAAACGTGCGGTATCCTTGAATCCTCATGATCGTGATCTCATCATGAATACTCAAGAGATACTTGTTCTATTCCAAGGGGTTTATCCAGTTACTCATATAAAATATTAACAATAATATTGAGACAAAATATGAAACAGGATAAAGAGTGCTTTTATTTATTTGCGACAATTTAAAAGGTCCACATATGTCCTAATCTAATCAAAAGATTGTCTCTAGGACATCCATATACTAACATCAATGACTCCTGACCTTGGCCGTTACTTGGGTATCCCCTTACATCGTAAGCGGGCTACGAGAGCTACATTTAGTTACATCCTTAATCGTTTACACTCCCGATTAAATTCTTGGAGTCATAATTCCTTATCTCTTGCAGGCAGAATTACCTTCTCAAAGGTTGTCCTTCAAGCTATCCCAACTTATCCAATGCAAGTCTGTGTCCTTCCCCGTAACGTTGGTAATGATATTGAGAGGCAGATTCGGGCTCTCTTTTTTTGTTCGTCAAGCTCTAATAAAAAACCTCATCTTGTTGCTTCGAGCCAAGTCTGTCGAAATAAACATCATGGTGATCTTGGGATAAGATCCATTCATGATATGAACACAACTTTCATCATGAAGCTAGACCATAGCCTTTTCACTAATCCGGAAGCTCTGTGGGTGAAGTTACTCAAGGCAAAATACAAGATGGGAATGGACTTATTACCATGTATTATTGCTCATAGTAATAGTTCGAGTCTCTGGAAGGGTATACCACATTGTAGGCCTCTTATTTTAAAACACAGTAGTATAGTGCTTGGTGATGGAGCGAGGACTCTCTTTTGGTCCGATCCTTGGCTCCCTTGTTGCGGCTCCCTCCTAGAGCAGCCTTTGGTCCAAATCCCTAGTGAGGTCTTGAATTTGCATGTGGCTAATTACATAAACGATGATGGTCAATGGAATTGGGATGATCTACAGCATCTCATTCTGGACCAATTATTCAGGCAGATCATGAACACGATTCCTCCCCTTCCTATAGATACTCATGGGGCAACTAACCAGAAGGAATTTTTTCTATTAGAACGACTTACAAGGTGATAGCTAATAGTGATACTTGTGTAGATTATACTCCTTGGGATCGTATTTGGGGTTAGGATGGTCCGAAGAGTGTTAAAACTTTTCTTTAGCTTGTGATGGGAGGAAAACTCGTGACAAATTCAAGAAGATTCCAATGCAAGATGTTTGCCACCGATGTTTGTCCTAGGTGTCATCAGGGATTGCACAGAATCTATGGAGGTTTGGTGGTTATTATTACATCAGAGTTATTAGGATGAATTCTCTGAGATGAATCTTCATGATTGGGTCATAACGAACGTTGAAGGTACCAACCGTTGGAGTAAGGATACTCATTAACGGTTCTTTTTCAGTGTAACGGCTTGGTTCCTCTGGCGTGCAAGAAATGACACAGTCTTCAAGAGTTTAAGATGCAATTTGGAGAGAACGATGCTAGCTGCTATAGCATATAAGGAGAGCGTTTTGCTAGCTAAGAATATGCTTCCAATAACGGGCTTGCAGACTCAAGATAAAACAGAGAGACTTATATCCTGGAGATTTCCTCCTATGAATTGGACCAAGATTAACGTTGATGGAGCCAGTTCTGCTGACGGGTACCAGTCAGGTTGTGGAGGTGTTTTTCGTGACATCGCTGGCGCTTGAATTTTTTGGTTTTTGCAAGAACATAGGAAGTGGAACAACGCTCAACGCAAAGCTTTGGGCCATTCTGGTGGGATTGGAGGTTGCTTGGAATAAAGGTTTTAGGATCATATGAGTAGAAGGGAATTCCATGTTAGCTCAACATCTCATTTTGAAGGAATGATGACCTTCCCATCCTTCCTCTGGGCTAATGATGCGTAGACATACTAGCAATGGATTGGAACATTCATATTTCACACATACATCGTGAGGGGAATGGCGTAGCATATTGGTTAGCTGCATATGCTAACAATTTTTCTTGGACGATTCAATTGCTGGAGAATCCTCCTCTGGAGTGTTTGCATCGTCTTCTGCATGACAATATGGGAGTTCACTGGCCTATACTTTGTACCTAGTTTGTTTTAGTTTTTGTTTTGTTTTTCTTTCCTGAGGTTTAAAAAATAGGGATAGGTTATTGTGCCTACTTCTATTTGACCTACTTTTGCCTACCCCTTTCGTTACCGTTCGATTACCATCTCATCCAACGATCTATATTTGTGATATAAAATAAACCTTTTTTTCTCTTTCTTTCTTCTCACTTTCTCCCATACACTTTCTCTCTCCTCTCCTTTCTCTCTTCCTCTACATCATACCTAATTTTTTTTCCCTTCTGCCGCCATGGACCTCAATCTCCTGACAAACTGTTCGATTCTAATGATATTTTTAATCTTTATAAATTAATACGATTAAATCGATGACTAACAAAGAAGTTTTGATGTGATTCAAAGCGGCGGTCGATTTGTTCACAGAATCCTCTTTGTCTCTGCTTCAATATGTCGATCTGTTCTTCCACATGATAGATACTCTTAATTTCTAATAATTAATTGGCTATCTGTATCAACATAATTGTTGGAATGGCACCAATTAACCCTCTTTCCGGATTTTTCCAATATCAATTTTTTTTATTCTTTAATTTTTTATTTATTTTGAATCTTTTCCAACTCTGCACAGATCTTTTGAATCACATTAAAACTTCTTTGTTAGTCATCGATTCAATCTTATTAATTTATAAAGTTTATGTAGTTCTTCAGATCTAAAAATTTGTTGTGATTTTTCAATCCATTGACACTGGTAGTTTGATAGAAACTGATTCGGAAGGAGAAAATTTATATTACAATAATAAAAACAGAGACTAATGTATATTGACGATGATTTCAAATGTTGTGGTAATGATTTCAAATGCTTCCCGTTCACCTAGGCAGAGATTAACGATAAAGGGAACAAAATAGGTATATGGCCGAGGAAGAGAGAAAGGGGAGGAGAGAGAAAAGGTATGAGAGAAAGTGAGAAGAAAGAAAGAAAAAAAAAAGTTTATTTTATATCACAAATATGGATTGTTGGATGAGATGATAATCGAACTGTAACGAAAGGGGTAGGCAAAAGTAGGTAAAATAGGAGTAGGCACAATAACCTATCCCTAAAAAATAAAGGGAAAAATGTTTCTGCAGTTAATGCAGATAACTTATCTGGGCTCTTTCACCCACTAGGGGTGTTTATTTCTTTAATTTATCAATTTGGTATTGGGTTAAAGCTATTTACGAATGGGGGTCATTTAGTGACGCGAGGGGGACCCAGCGTCACTGAGTGCCGCTATCATCCCCTCGCGTCACTCTCACTTTTTTTATTTTTTTTTTCTTTTTTCTATTGAGTGCCGCCCCCCCTCCCCTGGGGCACTCACAGAATTGTGCCAAGTGGCACAATCTGGTTACTCCTATTACCGTAAAACTTCGGAAAGCCATAACTTTTGATTCAGGTATCCAAATTAGATGATTTTTTTTTTGATTTCACATAACTTTTCGAGATCTACACAATGACATCTCATTTGACATATTTTATCTTCTATTAATATAGTTCAAATTTGCAACACTAATTACACTTTTTTACAGATTTGAATTATGTTTGTGAGAGATAAAATATGTCAATTGAGATGTCATTGCGTAGATCTCGAAAAATTATGTGAAATCAAAAAAAAAAAATCATCTAATTTGGATACCCAAGTCAAAAGTTATGGTTTTCCGAAGTTTTACGGTAATATGAGTAACCAGATTGTGCCACTTGGCACAATTCTGTGAGTGCCCCAGGGGAGGGGGGCAGCACTCAATAGGAAAAAGTAAAAAAAAATAAAAAAAATGAGAGTGACGCGAGGGGATGGTAACGGCACTCAGTGACGCTGGGTCCCCCTCGCGTCACTAAATGACTCCAATTCGTAAATACCTTGAACCAAATACCAAATTGATAAATGAAAATCACAAAAAACCTCAATCGGTGAAAGAGCCAACTTATATGCATTTATTCCCAAAACGACGTCGTTTTGGTATTGAAATCTTAAAAAATAAATATAAAGACTATTATAATCCTGAAATAAATTAAAATTACAAAAATATCATGATATATTTGAACTGGCCGGTTCAGATCCATTTTTATAAGAGTAACTCAGAGGCGGTTATCACTTACCAGACCCTAACTAGTCACGTGATCCGTGAAGACACCTTCCCTACGTTTTCCCCGTATCAATCTTTCTTCGCCGTAGGGTTAATTAAACACTTGCATTGCATTCATTCCCTTCTTAGAAAATGGGAACAGCGCTTCCACGATTGCCTTCAAACTGGGCTACGCCATGATGCGTTGTCCCGCACCAAATCTTCCGTCAGATCACAAAGAAACTCTAACCCTAAACACACTCGCCGGCGAAAGCGGAGTCCGGTGGCCGTTCACAGGAGTTTCCAAGACTGCTATCGTAGCTGGTGCGGCGGTGATAATTCCGGCATGGTGGTGAAATCCCCCGGCGCGAACCTCGTCATGGGACAGGTCAAGATCCTCAAGAGAGGCGAGAAGTTGAGCCCCGACGATGGACTCGCGCAGAAGAAGAGCGAGGAAGGTTTCGATTTGGTTTTGGGATCCACGGATCGGCTGGGTCCGGACCCGGAAACTGTGAAGAAGCAAGTTAGGGTTCCGGATTTGAAGGACGGTATTTATGGCGGATCAGGTTCCGTGGCATCGCCGCCTCCGAGCTCCGTTCCGGTCCCCGGATTCCTCGGGAAGAACAAAGGCGTTCCCACCAGTGATTTGAAACGTTTGCTACGGCTTAATTTGGTGTGACGATGATGGAATAGTTGATTAGGGTTTTTGAATTTCGGTGTTGATGAGGATGATGGATTGCATTAGAGAAGTGAAGAGTGGTTTGGTACTTTCTTCCTGCACAGATTGTTTGATTTGATTTGATGGAGTTGTCTCGACGAGCTTCCTTTGTTTTTTTCAAGAGGATGGCCGTTGCGCGCGAGCGAATGAAGAAAACCCTGAACGGAGGGGTTTTAAGTTATGTTAGTGAGTGCATTTGTTGAAGGGTTGAAGAAGGTTGAGACTAGAATCTCTTTTTCTCTTGGAAATTCCTCTAGTCTGATTGGTATACTAAGTTAGTCTAGTATTTAACTTAAGAGTGTGCGTTTTTGTTTTATATAGGGTTTAGATTTTCATATTGGAAGAATAAGGAAGTTTGTTGTTTGTCTTAGTAGTGTCATACTCATGCTGATGTAGTTCTGATATTTAATATAATAATGTATTAGTACTATTAGTAGTGCTATACCCTCCCTCTCTTTTAATCAAGAAAAGGAACGTTCGACTGAGATTTGTTAAGGGTTTATTAATCTGATGTTGTAAGATAGTTCTTCTCTTCTACCATAGAAACAATTATGGGTGAATTTTACTCACTTATAAAAAATAATAAAATAAAAATTAAATTACACGGAAATCAATGGATATATAAGAAAGAGATATCATCTTTACATAAGAATAATATTTCCCTTCTTTTATTCTTCAATAACTATTTATCCAGTATTCTCATTTTTCACAGGTACATTAGACTTTTTTACATTGTCGCTTTCAACTAGCTTGCTTTGTAGTTATGTAGTTTACTCGATGAGATTAGAACAGGGATAAACTTTCTTGGTCTGGATGCATTTCTTCAGTTTCTAAACTGCTTCATGAGCAAGTTGATAACATTTCTGATAGTCAAGCTGCAACACCTGACTCCTTGGCACTACCAGCGGGTGTATCAGCCAGTACCCTTTTCCAGAACCAGTGCCTCCTCCACATAAATGCCATCTCTTCAATGGGAATTCCCTTGGTTTCGGGTAAGAATACATAAACAAATATGGTCATGACAATAACCCAGCCAGCAAAAAAGAGAAAGATCCCAAACTTGAATGAGCAGAGAAGGGCAAGGAAGGCTTGGGCAATTATGAAAGTGAATAAAAGGTTTACAGCAACCGTGATACTCTGCCCTGCTGACCTGATTTCTAATGGAAATATCTCACTTGGAACTGTCCATCCAAGTGGGCCCCATGACCATCCAAAAGCTAGAACAAATAAGCACATCACAGCTACAACCAATATTGAATAGCTTTTCGACAATGCTTGATTTTCTCCAAACTTGACCCCTAAGATTATAGCAACAATAACCTGCTCATGTGAAAAATGAAGGTAAAATCAATTGCTCTGCATTGTAGTAAACTTCACCTCTTCCGAGATAGTAAAAAATTGTAACAAGTAGCGCAAGGGAAAACATCCTATTTGCAAATATGCAAGGATAAGGCTGTGTATAAAGATTGCTCTCAGTATTCCACCCTTGCTCTCAGTATTCCACCCTTGCTATTCGGGATTTAACAGAGTAGTTTTTTTTCTTATACTTGAAATTTCATACCATTTAGAGAGACCCTATCCTAAGACATATGTTAAGAAAATAAAACACTTCATCCAACATGAGTTCTGAAGTTATGCATCATACAAACTGAATGATGTTTTGGTTCAGCTTTTATATTATTTCAAAACTTACGGATCTTATAAGAGTAATTAGAATTTGCATAAGATAGACTTTTCCTTACCTGGCATGTGATCATTTGTATTCCCCCACTGATAAGAAGAGCTCTCCTTCCCAACTTATCGACTGTTGCAATGGAAATGAATGTTGAAAAGGCAAGAACTCCACCAGTCAAAGCTGAGGAGTAGAGCGACGCGTCACCTGCGAATCCCATGCTTTGAAACAGCACTGGAGCATAGAAGAGAATGGAGTTTATTCCAGTCAGGATCTGGAAGGTAGGCATGAAAATTGCCATGACCAACTCTGGCCTGTTCCTTTTTTCAAGGATGTTACGAAATGGGTGCTTTACTGAGTTTGCCAACTCGCTTGCATCAACCATATCTTGAAACTCTGCATCAACCTCATTTGTTCCTCTGATTTTTTCAAGGAGCTTCCTTCCTTTTTCTTTTGATCCTCGTTCTATTAAGCTATTTGGAGTATCAGGTAGAAATATTCCTCCTATAGTCATCAAAAGAGCTGGTATTGCAGCCAAACCAAGGGACAGCCTCCATCCCCAAGGTTTAATCCTCTGTGTTCCATAATTGATCATATTGGCTGTGAAAATCCCAAAAGTGGTTGCTACTTGAAACATCATGTTCACGCCTCCTCGAAGGTAGGTTGGTGCCATCTCTGACAAGTAAAGCGGAATAGCCTTCAAAAGAACCATGAGGAGGAGTTGCTCAAGAAAATTTTCAACTTTTAAGGTATAACTTGATTATCTTCTAACTCAAACACAGACTGTTTCCATCACATTACTATCTTTCTTTTCCTGTAAATTTTATGAACTCATGTTAACATTTACATCATTATTGTTAACACTCACACCATTAAAAGCATTTGATACTTGTTTGGGTAGTCTACAGCTAGGCTTTAAACAGGGAAAACAGTGGTTTCTCCTTTTATATAAATATGCTAATGTTTTACACCAGAAAAGGAAAAAGGTCTGTATTTGCATAAGGATTGTATCTGCATAAGGATTGATCATATATTCATATGTTAGAGAAATGTGTTACTACCTGATTTCCAAATCCAATGCCAACACCAAGCATAACCCGGCCTAAGATCAGCATTGCCAGGTTAACAGCTGAAGCATTTAGAATTGATCCAATAAGAAAGCTGACACCACCACCTATGATACTTGCCCTTCGTCCATACTTCCTTGTAACAGGAGATGCCATCAGGGATGCAAATAAACCAGCAATGTATAGAGAAGAGGTAAATGCTGCAAGGCCCTGATTGTCGTACTTGCAGTAGTTGTTTTCACGTGCGTGCATTTTATGTCTGTATACTGAGGGGAAGAAATCTTGAAGAAAGTCATCCATGGAAGTAACCCCACCTGCATACCATAAAACATGCATTAGAGAAATTCTTAACACAAGTGTTAAAGAATTATAACTTAATGGTTAAGAAAAAAAGAAAGGAGAGAGAGACAGCTAGCATTTATAAACTGAAATAAATTTTTGATAGAATGTAATGTTGTACAGTATCTTAACCTTGTACTCCTATTTATATTACTAATTAGGTTAAGTACTTGTAGTATTACTAGTAGATGTCCAAGGCCACTAATAATAAGATTAAAACCTATGAAAATAAGGAAACAAATCAAGAAAAATGTTCTCAAGGTAAGCTAAATATATCTTAAATATTCTCCAACAATAAGGAAACAGCTTTGCCTTCCAGTTCCTCACGACATGAGTTCTCAAGCATCAAGAAATAACTAATATGTGTTCTGAGCATAGGTCTGCTTGGTTGGGGCTGCATGTTGCAATGTGGGAGGCAGTATTCCTATACCAACATGCCTTTTCCTGTTGACTGAGTTGCATATTTATCTCATACTTTGTTTTCTTAATTTATCTGAACTAAGAACTGAGAACTGCCGTGACTGTTCTGTTAAGGTATCGAGATTAGAGCTCTTTCTAAATGTCTTCCCCAAATTGATCCATAACATTGCTATCTCAGTTGGAGGCCAAGAATTGGATAATAACAAGGATTCTATTGTCAATTATTGGCAGGGGAATATGATTGGATTTGCATCAGAGGCAAAGTGAATGGAAAAGGTAAATTCATTGTTGGGGTATAACTTTATCATTGCAGCTAGACATTTGATATTGAGAAAGACAACACTACCCGGACCCCTTTTTAATTAAACTGTTTGAGATGATAATTGGGAATCGTATCTTCTAGAATCAGGAAAAAGAGGCTTTTAACACATGAGTTCAGAAATTAATTAAAAAGCATACAGAACACATTGAAAAACTTAAGAATGTTATGGATCTGCATGCAATTTCACGTCTTCAATTTCTGAATCAGAATCTCTTGTTAGATATGCAACTCATGCAAGTTGGAAAGAGCATTTTACTGTTCACCTTCTTTGTTTTGAGCTTTCAATCATAACAAGTTTAAGTAGCTCTTATGGCCATAATAACCATAAGCCATCTGATTTTTCATTCAGAATTTTAATTAAGAAAAAACCTGAACATGAACAAAAAAAAAGAAAAGAAAATCATGGAAGTTATGATTCAGAGTATGGATTAAGGAAGAACCTGAAATCCCAATATCATAGCCAAAGAGAGACCCTCCTGTGGCAGCAACAATGCAAGCGATGATGACATAAGCAGTGACTCTCCCTTTATACTGTTCTGCCCTCTCTTTGGTGACAGTTCCTGTTGTGAAAGACCCACCAGCCATTTTCTGAATTATCCTTCCTCAGAGCAACACAAGAGGCATCTGAAGGAGATTGCTTTTCCACCTTCTATAATGGAGATCATTCTCATGCTGCTCAAGATTTATACTAGCAGGTCACACCAACCCATTTGCTCAAGAAAGTTAGAAAATGATTTTTTTGAAAACTTTAACTTCGGAGAGAAATAACTTTTTAGTATTTTAATGTTTGGCTGTATTGCAGTGGTGGCACATTTCATTGGAATATATGTTTATTTGTTTATTATCAAAAGAATTTATTGTGAAAATGTCTATTTTAGACCGCCATATTACTCAAAACTCAAAAGAATTGATATAAAGGAGCGTTTGACAGAAGAGAAAAAAAATTTATCGAGAAAAAATAGTTTGTGCGAATATGGTGGGAAAAAAAAATTTGGGTAAGTTACTGAAAAGTATTTAATAAAATAAAATTTTTCGAGAATGTTGAATTAATTTTACTGATATTATGTGTTAATTTTCTCACTATATGGAGAAAAAATAATTTCACCTCTTCAATGGTAATCTTCTCGAACCATTTTACATAGAAAAGCAAATGATGGAGTTACTTCACCTCCTACTAAATATAGACAAATAATCTTTCCTGTCCCATTTTCTTAGAAAAAAAAAATTTCACTTCCTTCCAAACATCCCCTTAATTATAAACATGAAAGAAGTTTTGTCCCTCTCCAAACACAAACCTTAAGAAATCTGAAATGCATTATTGCAATTTTGGAAATTCCTGAAGAATCACGAAAGTAGCATTGGAAAGGTACCGAGATGCATTCCTAATTTGTATGTGATTCATTTGTTTGGCTAATATCGGTCTATTTTTGGCTGGTTACTTTAGATAAGTGGAAGACTCGGTCTTCGCTGGCTTGTTACAAAATTGTAGAACGTTGGTTAATGAACAAGAAAAGGATGACATTAGGTTTTTTATTTTTTTAATGTAACGTGGATTGAGTGATCTCAAATTATGTGTCAAAATATTGCGTAAGTTGAGAATGTATTCAGAGAGTATATTTGCAAGTAGGCACTCAATTTATTATGGGATATATTATTTTATCCACTTTATTTTGGTTTATTTTATCTATCATTCTTTAATATTATTATATTAGAATTTTAATAGGAGAGAGAAATAATAAAAATAATTGAGATAGGGAAAAAAAATGTATTTAGAATAATCTATCCCATTTAATAATTTTTATTTTTTGAAATTTGGTTTGGGTAGCATTTAATGACATTTAACATCATAGCTGACTTTGGTGCAATTGGTATCTTGATTCGGTGTCTCTGGCGTCGTCTGTTGTACAGCTGACGTTTGGTAGAAAAAAAAAATTATACAGAAATTATGATTTTTAGAAATGTAGTGAAAAAATGAGTTTCGTGAAAATGTTACTAAAAAATTATTTGGTAAATCAAAATATTTACAAGAATATTAGGTTATTTTTTTTAATATTATGTTTGGTTGTGTAAAAATTTTTTTTTGTACTATGTGAATCCTCAAATATGCCCTGGGTGATATTTTTAGATAATATTTTCCAAATATTTTACACACAAAATAAAATTTCGAAAAATCAGATTCCTATAAAATTTTAAAAATGTCATTCCAAACATAGATAAATAAAATTATCACTCTCAATTTCTCAAAAATTTTAAAAAAAACCTTCTACCAAAAACATTTTAGAAAATTTGCTCGGACTTTATGGGAGTTTGAATTTTGTGCTTACAACTATTTTGTAAATAAAATAAAGCATAGTTTTTTTTGTTTTTTATTTTTGCTATAGTGTCCTTAATTTACGGACCCTACACATATGTAGTATTAATTATTTTTGAAAAAGTTCAAATATACTCGTATGACTATGATTTATCTTTGAATCACTTATCTTTTATATTTATTTTTTATTATTTACTCTCTTGTATTTTTTTTTTATGTCAATCCCTCCTTAATAGTGTTAGAATTTTTAATTAATATGAATATTATACTGTTTTAACAAAAACATATTTCAGTTATCTTGTGTCATTTTCTTCTCCAAACTCTGTAAGGACTTTTAACCATACAAAATTTCTTCATTTTTAGACAAATTATGAAGTTCCAATAATAAGGTGATGAGATTGCGTAAATTTTTTGGAAAACTTTTTCAATATATACATCATTATTATATACTTAATTAACACCATTATATTCTACTTTTTTGTACACAACATTGTTATCCGGGACTAGTGACTGAAGTGTCCTTTTTGGCCGAAAATTTTATCCAAATGTCACACGAACAGTATTTTTTACCAGACTTTCACATTACGTAATTCGTTATGACTGATAGCGAATTACGTTTGTAACACCCCGTATATATCTGGTAATGTTATCATACTATCGTATTAAGCAGCGTTTAATAAAAAAATGAGTAATATCTTTTTCTTTTCAATTATGATGTCATTGTCATTACCAACTTGCTTATTAATCAATTAATAAAACATCGCCTGTATGTAATTGCAATAAAACAGCTAACTGAAATACCTCATAATCATAGATAATACAAGTGTGGCTCTAGTCACGGAACTACAACAACGTAGACCGGACCATCTAGCAGTTTATACAACTCCAAACTGAAGCACTAACATAAAGTGTCATGGACAATCCTCATGCTCACTCAAATAAGGCACACGCCCAACATCAGTCTCAACAACAACATAAACATAAATAACGGAAAACATAAACAGCATCCATATTCGGTCATGGCAACAAAACAGCATAATATCATCAACTAAGCTCTGGCCTCCTGCCGCCACAGGCATCAGTCACCAAACTACCGGAACCTGAAATAAGCATTCCCCAAACGTGGGGTGAGATCTCTAAACAAGAAATCTCAGTAAGACAAGGGGTCCTCAAGGATCTTCCACCCCAAGCTGACTTACATGTGCAATATAAGTTTAAAAGCAGATATCATCATCAGTTCTAAAATAGTGCAATGCAGCAGATAATCATGTCATGTGTGTCAATTCTATTCTACTGGCCAGAGAAATGCAAGATTTACATACGCCAAATACCCACACTAGTGCAAGACGCTACTTGCATCCACCCCGGATCACCGTCTTGTATGACGCTACATACTCAAGTTTACCGTCAAGATGGAATAACACATGCATATTAAAATCCATTACACATAAAGCTCAACAACATTTCAAATATTCAAAGCATGTAACACAGCATGCATACAACCACACCCCCATGGGACATGGTGGAACCACAACATGGCTAAACCGAGGACACGAAAGCTTACCTTACAAGCTAACACCCAAGGCCAAGAGTCCACAGCTCAAAGTCCAAACACAGCAGATTCACAATCTGTTATGGACCAATACTATATCAATAATAATACAACACAAGCATATAACTTAAAGACAACGCCTTTCCTTACGTTTTATATCTTAAGGCTCCATACCAAGCCATAAGCCCTTAATCACAACGATTCTGACTTAGTTCATTAATTACAGAAGTTCAACTTCATCAATCTAAGGTCCACAAACCCCCCAATAGTCTATTGTACACACAACACAGTGTTCTACCAAATCCCAGAATATCCGGATATTCCTCGGGACCATATCCGGATATGCAATATCCGGATATCTCACTGGACATATTCAGATATGCAATATCTGGATATCCAGAATCCCATATCCGGATGTCCAAATCCCATATCCGGATATCACATATCCGGATATTTCTCGGGCAGATATCCGGATATTTCACGACAGAATGCAGAAAATGCATTTCGTGAAGATATCCTTCCAAGGTTCCATTTTTAACACTTAATTACGTTAAAGCATGCATCTTTATACTGATTAAGGTCCACACCCCAGTTGGTTACTTGATTAACCCATTAAACATGCAAAGATCACACCTTTAACCCATTAAAACATAAGCTCAAGGTAGGTACAACTCATCAAAGCTCAAAACAGAGGATCAAAGGCTCTTGGAGCTCACCACACTGCCTCTACAGGTTCTGGAAATAAGGTGTACGAAAATGCAACACAAAGGTTGGTCCTTTCTTCACAAAGAGGCTTCTTGAAGCTTCACAAGCCAAGAACAAGACTCCAACCACCCAAACAACCCAAAACAGCAGCTCCAACCACCAAGGTCAGCACCCTCAACTCAGAAAAATGCCACCAACACACTCCCAAAGATCACTCTCACTCACCACAAGTGTTTAGGCGAAGAATAAGTGAAGGAAATGGCCTCAAAGCTCAAGAAATGGTGAAGGAAAATGAAGGAGATACCAAGTTAGCAAGGAGACCCACACTCAGCAACCACTCACGCACAGAAACTGAGGTCCTAGGGTTATGTGTCAATCATAAGACTATATATAGCGGTTTAACAATTAAACACCCAGTATTAACTTTAATTGCTACGCTTAGCATTTTAATACCAAACTATGGATTCTTAACCTACTCAATTTTACAAGAATTATCATATTTTTCTTATAATTTTCTGAGCACCTTTCTGGTACGCGCTTTTCAAAGCCAATACCAGTTCTCATTATTTGGACTTGAAACTCGTTTTACATTAATTTTCCGGGATACTTTTTCGGTACGCATTTATACTGACTAGCAAAACCGGTATCTGCACTTTTCTTCCGAAAAGCGACTTTCAGCATTATTACTCACTTACTATAATTATTAAAGCCTCATAATAATTATTAGGGTCAATTATGGAATCATTTCCTATTTTCTCATAATTTATTAATTAAATTCCTTAATTAACGCTGCGTGTTCTTACAACGTTCGCCAATGATTTCATGACATGTGGTCATATTGCAGACTAAATTCGCTACTACTGGCAGCGAATTATGACACGTCAGCTTTTTTCTGCGAAAGTGTGTCACGTATCACAAAATCATTGACGAACATAATTCGTTACCAGTCGTAGTGAATTACGCTACGTGACAGTTTGGTAAAAAATACTGTTCGAGTGATATTTGGATAAAATTTTTGACAAAAAGAAATATTTTGGTCATTGTTCCTGTTATCGGAACAAAGGACAAAGGACAAAGAAATTGAAAATAAAAAATAATTAAAATTGAATTGTGAAGTGAATGTTATTATCTTTAAAACCATGGGCACTTTGACACATTCCAAAGTTAAGAAACTTTCATAATCACTCATGTGCCAAATTCAAGCGTGCCTCAATAATGTCATAATTCTCTCAGCAAAATGTGTTTGTCCCTATGTGTGAACTTTCAAATATATTACATTAGGGTTTAATATTTTTATTTTTACTTTTTATATAAATTTTTTTTACTACACTCACATAAAAATAAGTAAGTCATATTGATATTTTTTCTTTCTTTTCTTTACAATAGGACCTACTCATTTTTATATGAGTGTGACAGAAAAGTTTTTTATGCAAAAAAAGTAGAAATATTTTTTCATTTATATTAAATTTTTTAAAATTAATTATTTAAATGACTAATTCTCTCAAAATCAATTATATCAAAATCATAATATAATAGATATCATATAAATGCTAGTTATTAAATGAACATAGAAAAACTATTAGCTTATTACTAGAACTTCACAAATTTTGTTTGAAACTAGAAAAATTTTGTATAGTTAAAAATCCTTACAAGCTAAGCTTGGGGAAGAAGATGATATAAGATAGCTGAAATGTGTTTTTGTAAAAATGGTAGAATAATCATATTAATTAGACACTCTAATATTATTAAGGAAAGACTTAATGAAAAAAATACAGAGGGATCAATTATTCAAGGCAAACCACGAAATATTTGAACTTTTCCCAGATTTTTTTTTTTTTGGTAAACATTCTCCCTGATTTTTAAATAATGCAAATTATGCCCAAAGTCTCTAAATGTGCAGTCATCTATCTTGAAGGTGTATTCCATGCTATCAAATTAGTTTGAAGGTCATTATGTTAAAAATAATTTAAAATAATTTGACAGACAAATACACGTCTAAAGACCTCTCACATAACTTCTATTATTTAAACACAATTATGATTTACATTAAATCTTTTATGTACTATTTTGGCAATTTATTTTGGGTTGAAATCCAAAGTCTAAAAAAATAGAATAATGTTCTTCTGAAGTGAGTTTATTTATGAAATGCATAAATAAGATGCATTTACCTTTACAGTTTAGACTTAAAATAATGATATATTTTAGATATTAATATTTCTCCTCCTTCAAGAGATAAAGTTATCTCCTATAATTTCAACATGACGTTGTCTTGGGATCTAAGATACAAAAATATTAAATACAAAAAAAATTAAAATTTTCAAAATACCTTGATTTCCAAATTTTCAAAACAATATCGTTTTAATATTACAGGAGATAATTTTATCTCGTGTTCAGGAGAATTATTTTTCCTAAATTATAAATTAAATTAAAAGTACCATTCCTTAATTGTGCACTTACAAATAAGTTTTTCTTAAAAATGATTGTTAACACTCATTAATTGTCTTAATAAAAAATTCAAACAAGCAATAGAATGAATGGGTGAGACATTCTAACAACATCGTTTTTGGGACGGAAATCAAGGTATTTTTTTAATTATAATTTATTACAAGGTTATAATAGTCTTTATATTATGATTTTTTAATCTTTTAACACAAAACGACGTCGTTTTAGGAGTGAATATTGATAACTTATCTGCATTGAAGTCTTTATTATATGGGAAAATTATTCTCATGTTACATGATATTAGTTTTTCTCCTAAACATCCTTCGATAATTGTACAACTTTTTTTTTCCAGGTGGTAGGACCCACATGTTTGTCTCTACAACATGAGATAATTCATTTCCTTTAACGTGAGATTAATAACACCTTTATTGTATACATACAAACAAGGGGGAAAGGCCTGTCATTTTAAATAGGGGTGTCAACCCGCGAAAATTCGTGTCGTGTTCGTGTTGATGTATTCATGTTCGTGTCTTTCCGTATTTTTTTAAATTATTTTATCTTTAACTTATTATTATTATTATTTTAATTTTTTTAATATCGATCCATTTTTTTAAAAAAAAAATTTGTCAATTACCATTTTGACCCCTATTTTGCGTGTTATTTGTGTCGTGTCGTGTTAACCCACAAAAAATTCGTGTCGTGTCAGTGTTGAAGATTTTGACACGAATAAAAATTCATGTCGTGTTAGTGTTGATATATTCGTGTCATGTCGAATTTGTGTCGTGTCGACCCATTTTGACACCCCTAATTTTAAATGACACACATTATATCCTTTCACTCTCACAAAGAGGCGGGATCCATACCTTTAAAACTTTTTCCACTCATTCTCTCTTCCATGATTTATCTCTTTCTCTCACTTAAAATGACACAACTTTGTATCCTTCAAAATGATACACACTTTGTATCCACTATTTTTATATAAAAAAAATAGTGGACCCCACTACTTTGCCTCTGTTGCATGAAATGATTATCTCATGCAACATGAAATAATTATTTCCCTTTTAGGGAAAACACTTTCTCCTTTAATAGGAGAATTGTTTTCTCATGTTTGTGAGAGATCATTTTGCGTGTAATATTTTTTTTTTTTTTTTTTTATTTATGGTGGGACTCATTTAAATTATGTATGTATAGAAATTTTTCTAACCTCTTATTAAATGAGAAATGCAAAACTTTTTTTTATTAGTTTGCTTGTATTCTCCTCGGCTGTGTAAGCTTCTCTGCAAAATTTGTGAACAAATATTTTGTGCATTAAATTCTCTTATTTATCTATTGGACAAATTAATAGAAAATTATTAATTTTGATTATAAATTAAAAAGCAAACAATCCAACTTTATTTTTTTTTAAAGTCATCCAGTTAATATGTGTGAACTGGCCACACGGTTGACCAGCAGCACGCCATCAATTTCTTAACTTTTTTTTTTGCGTTTATTAGTTGCAGAGTTGTTATGTTAACCTTTAAAAATAAATTTTTTTATTAAAATAAAGATAAATGATGTACTTACAATTTATTTTCATTTACAATCATATATTAACTGTTGATTTTCTTCAATTAAACAGTTATAATTTATTAGGTCATATTTATTAATTAATTATTAATTTTTAATAAATTTTATCTGTCATATTGTTGAAAATCAATAATTAAGATATGATTGTAAAAGATTTTGCAAATGAAAATATGTTATAAGTACATTTTTCTCTGAAACAAAACATGAAAATGTGTTGAGAGATTAGCCACCATTAAATTCATAATCATATCAATAAATAAAAGAGACAACGTGTTTAGTGCAGTGGTTCTCTCCAAAAATCGGAGATATGAAAACGGCGTGATCAATGCAACAATTGCACGCCCCTTAAAGAACCCAAGTGGAAGCTTTCTTTTTAATAAAGAAATGTACATAAAAATTCAATACTAATTTTGGGAGAGATTTAAATCTTAATCCTGAATCAATTTTGAATTAAATTATTTCCAATGAAGGATATTTGTGGTTTATCAAAGAAAAATATATAAACGTGTATTGGTTTTTGAATTTTTTATATATTTTTTAATTAAAATTATATACTTCTTTACTTAATTACAGATAAATTAATTATTTGGATTTTAGCTAAGAAAAATCAGTGGGAAAAAGACGAAAGAAGACTAGGATAATTATTAAGATGGTTGAAAATTTTAGACGTATGAGCAAAATATTCACATTGCCAGATGGATAGTACATTATTTATTTTTTTGTAAGCATTACATTACATGACTAATTGACTACACACATCACATCTCTCGCTATTTATCGGAGATATTCATTACGAGGAAGTCTATCAATTAAATTAAGTGCATATTGGGATTGGAGTTTGGAAACATAATTATAAAAAAAAAATTAAACTTAAGTTTGGATTAGAAAGTAATTTAAAATAAACAGATGATGTTTAAAAATTTATATGTAAAAATTAGTTTCCACATAATCAAGTATTATTTAAATAATACTCTCGCATGAATAAATACTTAGAGTATATAATATTATTTGATCAAAAATTTGTTAGATATATGAAAAGTTAAATAATAGTCACATGGACTTAAGAAAAAAGAAATCCTATAATTGTAGTCGGTTGCCATTATTGCCGATATTAACACGCACTTAGATGAAGGTTTAGAAACGTTACGTTTTGGGAGGACCATGCACCAAAACATGCTAACCATAGTAAAATTTTGTGATATGGTTTCATACCACAAATAAAAACTTTAGCTGTACGTTTATGTGTAAATGGTCCCCTCCCATGTTGATTGCCGTATTAAATGGACACCACAACAGAAATGACAAATGACTTAGTTTTATCCTTGGAGGATGAGTATATGAACTCCCTTTTCTTTTCTTTACCTCTAATTCATAATTCACTGAAACAAGTAACATTTCTTATTAGTCCAGTTGAGGGAATTCAGTAGACTACAAGCTTCCCCACAACTAAGCCAAAAAAGTCACCCCACCAATCAAGAAATACGAGCTTGAAAGCAACTTGCATTAAATTGAGTATTTGACATTTCAAATGTTATAATAGTCGTAGATATACATCACTAATTCATAACCACAAGAAAATAATAACTGATTTCCAATTACAAATCAGCACTAAAAAAAATCAATACAATTGCTATCATTTGACCCCATAAGCTTTATTGATGCAGTTTTTATAGACAAAATAAGACACCGTCTCTAAAATCCCAAAGATCATTTATAATTTGAGAATTCTTTTCAAATCTTCAGTTCCCAGACTTTTGCACTCAAATTTAAACAAGTTGCTCCACCACCTGCAAGTTGTGCTACAACCTTTGACTTTTGACACTTTCCTACATCCAACCAGCTAAGTGTCATCATTCTTCAATAATAATTAGATAGAAAAGTAAAGACTTTTTTGACACTTCATTGCGTTTCCTCTGCTCAAAGTATGCCACTCAAGAAGCCCCTGCAGAAGAGATAGATACATCAATATACAAAAGTATAGCTTCACATAACTTACCATAAAGGGAAAATAACTAATAGTAGAATGAGGATACTAACCAAAACCCTGAGGCTTTCCTAGTTTCATTACTGCAAAATTTCCAGACAAAACAATTCAATGGAATGCTAATTTGTCAAGCTTAAATGATACATAAGAAAGTCAAGATAAGAAGGACTGGGTTTGTAACATTTTATATATAAAAAGTAGACATCTGTTACCTTGGTTTTCCTTCAAAGGCATCATTAATTTCATCTATAGTAGGCCTTTGTTGAAACGTAGACAAAATAACATACTTCTCCTTTCCAGGTGACTCATCTACCCTCTTGTACAGTTCATAACCGTATGGATAAGACATCCTAAACCATAAGAAGTAAATTTACAGTACAATAATTGGTGATTACTTCATGGAGAATATAGATAACTATTGAATAACAAGAGACGAAAGGAATTGTGAAATAATCCGTATATTGAATAGGTAAATGTGTGTACAATATATAGAAACCTAATAGGCTAGCCCAGACTTAACCTAAATACTAATAAGGAAAATATATATTTACAATATTATTTCCAACACTCCCCCTAAGCTGGAGCGTATAAATCATAAGCACCAAGTGATATGAGCCCAAATTGCCTCAGTCCTTTACAGCCCAATGATCAAGGCCCAATGGAGGAAACATCAACAACAGCTGAGACAAGAGAAGTAGAGTCAGCATCTTTGCTGCATGCAAGTGAAGAGGAAGAGATGGGAAGATCTATAGCAGAAAGGAGGACCAAGAGACTGATTAGAAGACCAAGTAGATTCGAGGATTAAGAGCAATACACCATTCATTTGTTTGTAACAAATTAGTTAGAAGTCTGTTACATCATCAACGGCCAATAACCGTTTTGATGAATGGGTTGCAAGTGTTACATTGTCTTGTAATTCTGCTGAAACCTTGAGTATAAAAGGACAACACGAGTGTAAAAAGCAGGCATTGAATGATAATAAGAATTTCTTCTCTTCTATTCTTACTTCTTATCTCTCTTCTCTTCTTGATAGAACATAGCTCTATCAATTGGTGCTTTCATCTTCCTGAACTATGGCACCTGAAACCCGTTCTAAGTCCACTGATGATCGCTGGGAACAAACTCAATCTGATGTTGAAGTCCTCAAGGAACAGATGCAACGGCAATACAAGGAAATCACATGCAAATTGAATGCGATTTTCGATAACTACCCTGAACGTGAGTCCTCTCATTCAGCATCTTCATCGCACCACCAACCTTCTGGTTCACGAGATCGTCAAGCAGCCAAGAATTTGCGCATCAATGTGCCTCGGTATGATGGCTCGCATGACCCACAGGATTGGATCTTTAAGGTCAATCAATTCTTCGATTTTTATGAGATCGTTGAAGAACAACGCTTGCGCGTGGCTCCATTTTATTTCGATGGGAAAGCCCTGGCTTGGTATAAATGGTTGCATAAGAACACTGCTATTACATCTTGGGATGGTTTTCTGCAATCCCTCCAAATCCGTTTTGGACCCATGAAACTTGAGGATTATCAAGGCAAATTAGCCAAGTTAATGCAAAGAGGATCTGTGATGGAGTATCAGACCGGATTTGAAACCTTGTCCAATAAGGTAAATGGCCTTTCTGAATCTTTTCTCCTCAGTTGCTTTATCTCTGGCTTACAAACTCAGATTCTACATGAAGTTTCTGCTTTTCAACCCTCTACCTTAACTAAAGCCATCGCCTTAGCCAAAATTCAAGAGCTGAAATTCCAAACCAAAACCACATATTCCAAATTACATTCTCCATATCCACCCTTACTACCTACTCCTACTACACACTCCACCAACTCCAAACCTGTTACCCCTGTTATATCCAATTCCCAAACAAATAAACCTACTCACCGCTTAAGCCAAAGTGAAATACAAGAACGCAGAGAAAAGAAACTCTGTTTTTATTGTGGAGACAAATACTTTGTAGGCCATAAATGCAAAGCATCAGTCCATCTCCTTATTGTTCCCGATGATGAATTGCATGAGCATGAACCTCCACCCTTAGACACACCAGACCAGCCATTAATTGCACCAGAAACCATTAATATCGATTCACCTCATATTAGTTTCCATGCCTTATCTGGCTTCATTGTGCCACAAACCTTACGTTTCACTTGTTATATTGGGAAGTCTGAATTGACCTTGCTTGTGGATGGGGGTAGCACCCATAATTTCTTGCAACCGAAGGTAGTTTCCACTCTCCAATTGCCCATGGTCACAGATAAGCAATTTGATGTAATGGTGGGAAATGGTCAAGTCTTGCAGTGTGAAGGCCTATGTTCGGCTGTGCCAGTTCAAATACAGCAACATATATTTTTGGTGAATTTCTATGTACTACCTATTCAGGGAGCAGATATGGTATTGGGGGTGCAATGGATGCAAGGATTGGGACCTATAGTGTTGGATTACCAGCAACTTACCATGGAATTTACATGGGATAGTACACACATCAAGCTCCAAGGGGACAAGCAACCCAACCCAATTTCAATCAATCAATTCAGAAGAATTCAGCATTCTGATCAGGTAGCTTCCTTATACCAACTCACTTTGCTAGATTCTCATACTAGTGTTCCAGCACCAGAATTGGATCCACGAGTGCAGTCTTTGCTGCATGAATTCGATAGCATCTTCCAGGAGCCTAAGGAGTTGCCACCACATAGGCAATTAGATCATGGCATCCATTTACAGCCAAATGCACCACCTGTCAATGTAAGGCCCTATAGATACCCTCATTTTCAAAAGAGTGAAATTGAGAAACAGGTGCTACAAATGCTCGATTCAGGTTTCATCCGCAATAGCACCAGCCCATTTTCTTCTCCTGTCCTCTTGGTTAAAAAGAAAGATGGTACATGGCGTTTCTGCATTGATTATCGGGCATTGAACACTATCACTATCAAGGATAGATTTCCTATTCCTACAGCAGATGAGTTGATGGATGAGCTAGGAGGGGCCCAAATTTTTTCGAAACTTGACTTGAGAGCAGGATATCACCAAATCCGGGTTTGTTCTTCTGATATTCATAAGACTGCTTTTAGGACCCATCAAGGTCATTATGAATTTCTTGTTATGCCTTTTGGGTTGACAAATGCCCCATCTACATTTCAAGCCACCATAAACTTGATATTGCAGCCATTTCTTCGCAAATTTGTTGCTGTTTTTTTTTATGATATATTGATCTATAGTTCTTCTATGGATAGTCACTTACAGCACTTAAATATGGTATTCACTACATTACACCAGCATCACTTCTATGTCAAGAGGAACAAATGTTCATTTGCACAGCCTCAAGTAGAATACCTTGGCCATATCGTGTCTGCTGCAGGGGTCAGTGTGGATGAGAACAAAATTAGTAACATGCTGGATTGGCCTACACCAAACAACTCAGAGGATTTTTGGGTCTTACAGGTTATTACAGGAGATTTGTATGTAACTATGCTGCTATAGCTGCTCCACTCACTGATTTACTTAAAAAAGATTCTTTTTATTGGACTGAAACTGCTCACATGGCTTTTGCCCATTTGAAAATAGCAATGTCTTCTGCACCAGTTTTTGCTCTTCCTAATTTTGATTAGGATTTCGTGATAGAGACAGATGTCTCAGATCTTGGGATAGGAGTTGTACTACTGCAAGAGGAACACCCTATTTCTTACTTCAGTAAGAAACTTAATTTAAAGATGCAGGAAGCTTCTGCATATGTGAGAGAGCTCTATGCTATCACTGAATCAGTCAAGAAATGGAGACAATATCTCCTAGGCAGGAAGTTTCTCATCAGAACTGACCACAAGAGCTTGCGTGCTTTGCTAGACCAGGTGATTCAAACACCTGAACAACAATACTATCTTGCTAAGTTTACTTGGGTTTCAATATTCCATAGTGTATAAACCAGGGAAGGAAAATAGAGTGGCTGATGCACTCTCTCGTTACCCTTCTATGATGGCAATCCAAACAGTTGCTGTGGTCAATTTCACCCTATTGGAGGAGTTAAAAAAAAGAAAACCAGTGTGCTGCATTTTTCCAGCACAAATATCAGCAATTACTCGAGGATCCTACTGCCCACCCTGATTTGGAGGTTCGTGAAGGCCTCTTGTTGTGTAAAGGGAAACTATTGTTGGATCCTACTTCACCCATAGTTCAACAGATCCTCCAAGAGACTCATTCTACATTGGCAAGTGGTCATGTAGGAATTCAAAAGACTTTAGCTAAAGTTTCCGCCAGTTTTACTTAGCCTGGATTGAAGAAGTCTGTTAAGGAATTTGTCAATTCCTGTACTGTATGTCAACAAATCAAGTACTCCACACAAGCACCTGCTAGCCTTCTCCAGCCTATACCAGTTCCTACACAGATTTGGGAAGCCTTGTCATTAGATTTTATAATTGGTCTTCCTATGTCTTATGGTTACACCACTATTTTAGTGGTAGTTGATAGACTTTCCAAACAGGCCCATTTCGGTGCCTTACCTAAGAAATTCATTGCTAGCAAGGTGGCTGCTTTGTTCTCTCAAATGGTGTGCAAACTTCATGGAATTCCTAGATCTCTTATCTCAGACAGAGATCCTTTATTTCTGAGTAAGTTTTGGACTGAGTTGTTTGCTCTAAGTGGAACCAAGTTGAATCACACTACAGCATATCATCCACAATCAGATGGCCAATCTGAAGTGGTTAACAGGATTCTAGAGCAGTATCTTCGATACTTTGTGGCTGACACTCCAAAGCAATGGTCTAAGATTCTCCATTGGGCAGAATACTGCTACAACACCACTTATCATAACTCAGCTGGCATGTCTCCTTTTATGGCTGTTTATGGGCGTGCTCCTCCATCCATTCTGCATTACTTACCATCGACTGCTACAACAGTGGAAGTAGATCAGTTATTGGTTGATAGACAAGAACTTCTACATCAATTGAAAACAAATTTGTTGCATTCTCAGGATCTTATGAAACAGAATGCAGACAAGCATCGCAGAGATATTCGTTATAAGGTGGGAGACCTTGTGTGGGTTCAACTCCAGCCTTATAGACAATCTTCAGTAGCTAATAGGCTGTCACATAAACTGGCTAAAAGGTATTTTGGTCCATTTGAAATTCTCAGACGTGTAGGCCAGGTTGCTTATAAGTTGGCATTACCATCACATGCCAAAATTCATCATACATTTCATGTGTCCTTATTGAAACCTTTCAAAGGGGACCATACTATCACCCCATGCTCTCTACCCGAATGCTTTCACGGAGGATTTCCAATCTTGGAACCTCCACAGATACTGACTACTCGCATTATTCATAGTGGAGACAACCCCGTTCAACAAGTCCATGTCT